AAGTCGTGGCTATTTAAACAGTCGCAGTCAAAGGCGTATTGTATGGAAATCAGCGCCCTTAAACACCATTCAGCTGTGGACAAGTCAAGCCCATTAATTGCTCTGAACGTTTACCTAGACGCAGAAGACATACATAAGACCCACGTGTACAAGGAAGAGCAGATCGCCTGAATCCAAAAGAAAACGTCATCGTATTGCCAAAAGAGTGCAGAGTCGCATTTTTAGTTGCAAAGTACTACCACAAGAAATCTCACCACATGCTCCACGAGTCAACTATCAACCTAATTCGAAGCACATTTTATATACCACGTCTACGAGTATTGTACAAAACTGTGCGTAAGGAATGTAAAAAATGCAAAATCGCCAATTCGACACCAAAGGTACCCCAAATGGAACCTGTACCAGCTGCCAGACTGGCTTGTTTCGAAAGACCATTAACATATACGGGTGTCGATTATTTCGGCCCCATATTAGTGAACAATGGAAGGCACAAGGAAAAGCGTTGAGGAGTCCTATTTACATGCCTCACATTAAGAGCAGTACATTTAGAAGTGGCACACAAGCTTGACGTAAGCTCTTGTATACTGTGCCTGAAGAACTTTATGGCCCTCCGTGGAACTCCAAAAGAAATCTCCGACAATAGGACCAACTTCAAAGCCACTGAAAAGATCGTAAAGGAGGATCTTAAGCAAATCGACTTTGATGAAATCACCATCCGCTACGTAGCTATTAAATGGCGCTTCAACCCACCAGCTGCACCCCACATGGGCGGACATACAGATATCTATTCCAATAAATTCTCCTCGACAATATTCATTATAATCCTCCATATCCAGCAACATGATTATATTGTGAAAGAATATATTTTGGTGCTGAATCATATTCAGAACCATAAAAATATTATTAATATTCATTTTAATTATAAAAGTGAACAAATTTTCCGCCGCTCCAAATTGTGTGCATTCGCTGTTTTTCATGGATGGTATGGTGGATGGTAAATGGTGCCAGTGTGAATCGGTGTTTCACATCATTACAAATTCCCACCACTCCCTCCACTACCGTTCTGAAAATATCCCAGTTATTCCACCATCCATCTGGGATCTTCCTAATAGGCTACTTACACGGACATGTGTTACTTATCGATTGCTGAGTTAACTCAATAACTCAGATTTGGCGTCTACACTGGCACAAACTCTAGTTATTGAGTTATGAGTTTTGACAACAGCACATTCTACGTGTTTTTAAAAACATTTTACATATCAACGAAATTATTAATATGGACAGAAGATATTTGGGGCTACATTTCATGAATAGTTCTCAATGAATAACAAATTCAACTATTCAAATTCATTTATTTGTGATGATTTTCATTCACGTATGTGAGAGTTCTTCCGTACACCACGAAAACCATTGTTTTTTCCTTCCAGAAGTCTAGAAGTTCCTGTAGAGGCAAATAGGTCTACAACAATTTGCTTATGATAAAATTGGCTAAAAGTATTATTTTTTAAGTATTATATGCAAATTTACATATTTCCCTAATTTTTCTATGTAAACACTTTTTGTTTTCTAGTGGTGAGATGGAACTGGGTTGAAATAATCGGAGAATCGAACAAACGCAACCATAACTCAACTTTTTGCCACTTTGCAACTTTTTGCTCCTATGCTAAACCTATGTCAAAAAAAAACTGAGCTTTGCTTAAAGCGCAATAACTCAGCAATAGTATAAACAGGCTATAACTCGAACGTTAGCAATAATTAAGTATTTCCGGGTCAAAGACACACCGTGGAAAACACGGTCTCAGGTGCGATCGCCAGCTGCTTAAAAAGCCCAAGCTCGGCCAAAGAAGCAGGCTGTCCATCAGCCCGAACGCAATATACAACACTATGCAGTACATCAGAAAAGTGTAAATAAACAAGTAACACGAATAAAGATAATTGAATAAATCCAGAACAAAATACAAAACTTTCCACCTTGCCCATTTCGGGGATGGGCCGTAAGGTTTTGCCGTTCCAAAAATTTCCCAGTTATTCCACCATCTATCTGGGATGTTCCTAATTCGCACGTTTCTGTGCGGTATTTTTTTGATCATTATCAAATGCAACCATAAATATTTGAAATTCACAACGTAAAAATGGAATTCACTATGAAAATGACAGACAGCTGTTTCCGTTTTTTTCTTTTGGAATAAATAAAACTTAAAAAAAAAAGAATTGTTATATGTAACATGAATAATGGATATATGCATTTGCTTCTTATTCCCTGGAATTATAATTTTACAGCCATTAAAAACACAACAAGCGGCAGGTTGTAGTGGTCTGCTGAAATCGGGAATATTTAATTGATATTTGGCAGGAGAGTACTGATTGTTTGCAGGGACCTCGGAAGTATTCTCATGCCTATATGATATATTCGCCTCCTCGAATTCATTATTAAATTTTGCAATATGTTTTGTTGGTATTGAAAGACAGTGAAAACAATTGCCAAATTATGATCCATTCTTGCCTAATAAACAAGAACATTTTCCGCACAAATCTTAGATATTTTTTTCTCATCCAAATGTTTTTCCATGGATGGTGGATTGTGCCGGTGTGATTAAGAGTTTCAAATTTGTCAAAAATTACCACCGTTACCCCGGGATGAGCTCAGTGTGCAGAGGCTATTAGTCTTTAAAAAACTTTGAAATATCTTTAAAAATTAAAAAAATAACTACAAATTATAATCACAAAGTATTTACACAAGTAAATTCCCACTCGCGACCGGATCCATAGGGTTTTATACCCTATTCCCAATGGCACCATCCATACCATACATGGAAAAACAGCTGGATGAGCATAAAATAACATAGATTTGTGCGGAAAATGAATTAGTCAATTATTAATGAATTCAACGAGGCGTAGATATGTGCGAGGGGTGCTATTTATTTTTCTGGACTAGGTCACTTCTATCCATATAAGGTCATTTACATACAAAAGTTTGGATTTTTATGGATAAAACCTACATAAAACTTTTTCATGTACGAAGTTTGATATCGACTAACGATAAATCAGAAATTTATCTCAGGCAAAAATTTTAATTTACACATGAAAATGTCTTTGTTTTTAAACCAAGAATGCTTAGATCAGCTGAGTTCAACTTTTATTGAAGATGTAATTGCATTGCATGCAATGCCAATGTAAAAAACTGGTTTCGCGAATTCAATCGTGAACGTCCTTCGTTTTAGAACGAATTTCTTGAAGTTAATTTATAATTAATTTTTGTGCCACAAAATATCGATGCTGTGAGCGAAATTATTGAGTAAGATCGTTATGTCATATTATTGACATTGAGGTATCCTTGGGCATAAGCATGACGAATATTAATACGATTTTCCATTATAACATCGTGATAAAAAGGTGTGTTAGCGTGGGAACCCAAACAATTAAAAAATCGAAAATTTTACAAAAATACGATATGGTACTTCAAAAGCTGTGTATAACATCTATACAGGTGACGAAACATTGATGTATAAATGCAAATCGAAAAAAAATTAACGAGAAGGAACGTGTGAGTCGCTTCTGGGGACACCACTCTACTTTTATAGTACTCAGTCAGTATATAAAATTTTTAGCTTATGATTTATGTAGAATTTAAAAACATTTTACATTTTTTTGCTACATCTGTTATCTACATCTACAATGTATATGTTACATCTAACATGTAGATTATACATGTACCATTTAGATTCTACATCTTCTCCGCCAGCGGGCGCTCGCGTACATAACGAGGCAGAGTGTGCGAGCGAGAAAGAGAATAAGTAGCGTGGTCTCTTGCTGGAGGAGGTGGGAGAAGCAACTGAAAATTAATTTCTTCATTCTTTAAAATTGTGCCTGCCACAGATTTTCGTCCTTTGTGGGGCGGGGCGAAATTTTGAAATACACTTCTAGCAGTGTGATATCACATGAGCCTGGAAACAAAATTTGGTTGCTCTAGCTTTTATAGTCTCTGAGATTTAGGCGCTCATCAAGACGGACAAACGGACATGGCTATATCGACTCGGCTATTGATGCTGATCAAGAATATATATACCTTATGAGGTCGGAAATGATTCCTTCTCTGCGTTGCACAAATTCACTTTTACCACAAATACAATATACCCCTTAACTCTTTTTGAGTACGGCTATAAAAATCGACGGCATGAATTTTTGTAAGCGAAAGAGGCTGATTTTGCCTGCTTTATAGGCCTTTCTTCAGAGTGATAAAAAAAAATTTGAAAATGTGTTAAAATGTTTCGCAATAGGATTTTATATTCCTGAAGAATATTGTTCAAAACAATAAAACCGTTTTTAGACGACTAAGTTGGGGTTTTCATAGTTAGGCCAGAAACTTAAATAACAACCTACGTACAAAAATAATAAATTCTATTCAACCGCAATCATGGACTGCGTCATCTCCATATGGGCATGGGATTTCTTCCGAGGACCCTGCAAATCCTTAATACTCTCCTGTCAAATATCTATAAAAATATTCCCGATTTCAGCAGAACACTTCAAGCTGCCGCTTGTTAGTTTTGTAATGGCTGTAAAAAAACTATTTCGTGGTCAGACTTCCATCTTATTAATGGAATTTTAAAGTTAAATTTCTGACCATACAAATTGTAAGCACAATCAAATATGCTCATGAATAAAATGAAATATGCGTACTTGTTTGGTATAAGTTTTGAAATTGCTGTCTAAATTTCGTCAAAGGCTAAATATTTGATCGTTTTGTCTTAGGCTATCACTATTTTATAGTCCATAGAAGTCTGTTAGAATAAGAATTATAAAAAAATCAATGAACTAAGTAACCCACTAATATATAATTGATATTTAATTTTATATAATAAACTGATTAAAAAGTAGATTTATAAGATTAAATCAAATTAAAAGTCGATGTCGGAGTACCATTATTAGGGATACATGTCGAATGCAATGTAAGCCCCTCTCCCTATAAATATTATTTAGATTGATTGTTTTTATCTACATTCCTGGCAGCACAAAAAAAGTTCGAACAAATTAAGAGTAGCAGCCACACAAGAACTAAGCCACTAGACATCATGTCAGCCATAAATAACTATTCCACGTAAATTTAAAACTAAAAACACATTCATACATTTATCACAATTGTTAAATGGATCGTTCCCTCGCCCAGGTTTGTAGCGAAGCGTGGACAATTAGATGGTCAGATACAAAGAGAAAAGCAGGTAAGCGAGGTATACGCATACACAATCTGTAGGCCCAACAACTTCTGGGTAGCAGGTAATATGATTCTCTTGAATTAATTAAATTATATAAACCTATGTAATTTGATTGACATATGTTGTATTGATTACCGCGAAAAGTCCATTATAGATAACGTAAACGCCGACCGAGATACCATTTCTAAAATCCAATATGTCAATTCAGAGCGCGAACTAATATCACTAAAAAACCAAGAGGATGGTAAGTGATTTGACCCTGCCCTCGCTTAATCTTAATATAAATGTATTACAGATCCATCATTGCGAAAGTACCTCGTCTTTGGGGTTCAATGGATTTCCCTAGTCACAGAAAACCTCATAAGCCATCCATTTATTGTATTACGTCGGCAGTGCCAGGTTTATAATGCTTCAAAGCGCTTTCACTTGCATCCACTAACGCTACTGCCAAGCATTGTTCATTTGCACAGACGGCAGGGGCTAACGACGCTTTGGAAGGGCCTGGGAAGCTGTCTCCTGGTTCGAGGCATGAGCTTAGCCATCGACGATGTTATCTCCAAACTTACCAGTTGGCCCAAAGACGTAAACAGTCGCACAACTCTTAAGCGCTTTGGACAACACGTTCTCCTTAAGTGGTAAATGGTATAAACTCCATGTGTGTACTGTAAAAATAGTAAATAATATTTTTTTAGCATTAGCATAGGACTGGTGGTTCCTTTCCATGCTGCCTCTCTGGTGGAGACAGTACAAAGCGATATAGCGAGCGAAAAGCCTGGACTGTTTGATGTTTTTCGTGAGGGCAGTCTTCGACTTTTCTTCTGGAGTTATCCGCAAAAGGGTAGAATGCTTCCTGCCTGGGCGTTGATTGGACCAAGTGTATCGTTGGGCGTCACAAAGTATCTATTCAATTTAGTAATACGTGGCGTGTCCTCCCGCATAATGCTGCGCCGACAATCGCATATGCAAGAAAATTGTGGCTCAAAGTCGCATGGCAACGATACGCTGGAGCATCAAAATTCGGAGATCTATGGAAATCTTATCGCCACGCTGACTACCGAAGTCATATTCTTTCCCTTCGAAACGATTTTACATAGACTCCAGCTGCAAGGCACGCGTACTATAATTGACAACCTGGACAATGGCTACGCAGTGGTTCCTATTCTGACAAACTATCAAGGAGCTGTTGACTGCTATCGTACAACTATTATTTCGGAAGGATTTGCCGGACTATACAAGGGCTTTGGGGCTATGATCCTGCAATTTGCAGTACACATTGCTGTAATCAAGATAGCCAAATGGATTGTCACCCAAATCACAGAAGGGATCTCAAATCGACCACCACCATGCATTGTACAGTACTACAATCTTGACTGTGTTGCTGGAAAGTCCAGTTCAACGACCATATCGTCCAGTATTTCAAGTACAGAGGTGGACGCGCCGTGTGAAGAGAATTCTTAGAAGTAGCTATTGAAAAAACAGTTCTTTACAGAGTTATCTATGGATAATAAGAATGTATGATAATATAGGTATATATTTTATCGTGATAATTATATATGTATATGTACTTTTGGTAGCATTTGTGTGTGGTGGATAAACTGGAATATATAGGATGTGTCACATCCTTCTATGGCATTTCATTTTACCAAAAGGACAAAACCCTTTGGATATAAAATTTGGGCTTAAAAAAAATAACCTACAAAAGGAAGTAATTTCGATCTCATAAAGTAAATAGATCAGAATGAGCAGCCTAAACGATATGGTCATGGTCATGTTCGCCAAAAAGACATTTTCTGATAGATTTCGAGCCTTAATAATATTTAATGGACCATGGTGCATTAATTAAGCTCACACAGTGGGGACTTCGGCCATTTCAGCTTGATAATTAATAGCTTCTGAGCAAATCAAGATATTTTCATGAAATAAACTGCATTTGATATGAAAATCTTAAATTGTAATCTGCACATATGGTGGTAAAATGTTTAGAAGCTTTACAATAAATAGTCAAATTACTTTTTTTCTGGTACCTTAGCTAACCTTAGCTTTTTTTGGTCAATAAAGTAAGTTTAATGGTCATTATATATTTTAGTTTTAATATTGAATATATACAAATTTAAAGGTTACACAGGACAATGTCAAAAGAGAAGGAACGTTGTGAGACGCATCTGTGTATGCGACTCTACTTTTATACCCATACTCAGTCAGTATATAAATATGTGAGCTTATGATACATGTGGAATCTTATAGGCCGTTTACACTGGGGCTGCGTCATGCTTCTTTGCGTCTTGGCGAAGACGCAGTTTTTTTTATATAGGTTAAGCATAGGGCCCTAGTGGTGGCAAAAAGTTGCGTCAGTGTCTGATTCATGTGCGTCAATTCGGTATATTCGATTGATTTTGCTCATTTTTGGTATTTTCTGCCTATCAGCGCAACTATCACCACTAATAACAACAAAAAATTGTAGATCAAAAATCAAATTTTGGCGCTAAAAATGTATGATTGTGCAAAAAGGTGAAAATATACATAAAGTCATTAAATAAAATACTTGAAACTGATTGTATTATTATCATATGAAATTTTTCTGACCCCCTGATGCCATTAAGACACTGCTGGAGACGAACTTCGGTGGTTTTCATAATTTGAAGAAGAACTCCCACAAACTACAATGAAATGTCTGAAAATAATATTTAAATATGAGAATCAATTCTTTTTCGTTCATTTTCCTGACGTCTTGCTTAATTCTGTTGATTTTCAAAAAATTGTGTATCTTTCCTTGTCATCAAACACCCAAATCCAAATTCAAGACGCACGTCTTCCAATGTAAACGCCTTTTCTGCTTCATTGCGTCTATGCCGATATCGATAGCAGACGCGCCCAGTGTAAAAAGGATATTAAAATATTTTATATTATTAATTTTTTTTGCTACATCTGTCATCTACATCTTCATCTACAATATAGATTATACATTTAAAATGTAGATTATACATACATCTACTATGCATATTCTACATCTTCTCCGCAAAAGGTCGCGCACTGCACAGGGCAGAGTGTGTGCGAGCGAGAAAGAGAATAGGTAGCGTATCCCGCCGTCTAACACTTAATCAAGTTGGAAGGTTATTAAAAACTTATACACAAAAAAAAATAGAGAACACAGGATATAATTTTTTTCGACTTTTCCTGAGCTTTAAAATTAAAATGTAAAAAATACCGCACAAAAATCATAATTTTTGCATTTGAATGCTTTATATTTACCAGGCGGTAAGCTGAAATCACAAAGTATTTGAGCTGCTGTTTTAATTATCTCTTCAAAATAGCAAAGTTCTTTACAACCAGAAGTAAGACACTAGAGTTAAAAAGTGAAAAAAAGAAGCGCTACATCTGAAAAAGCTTAAAAAAAATAGGAGACTTAAAAAAAAACTTCTGCCATAGAAAAAAACCATAATTCTTTAAAAATATCTATAATATCTATCAGAAAAAGTCGGATTGGATTCTTCAGGATTGGATTTGTCGAGTACTGTTTTCGGAGGGTTTGTCAACCAATTTCAGATGAGTCGTTTCTTTATTGAATTTTATGAAAAATACTTCAAAGGACGCCCATTTAATGCACCTACATATACACAAAAAAAATTAATTAAGAAAAAACGAGAAGGAACGGTGAGTCGCTTCTTTGGATTCGACTCTACTTTTATACTAGTACTCAGTATGTAAATTTGTGAGCATATGACATGTAGAATTTTTGAATATTTTACGTTTAAAATTTTTTTCCTACATCTGTTTCTACATCTACATCTAATATGTTTATTCTACATCTGAAATGTAGATTATACATCTACAATGTAAATTCTACATCTTCTCTGCGAAGTGTGCGAAGGGAACACGGTCTGCGAGGTGCCAAAGGAAAGCCAAGAGGTAACGCTGTCTCGCCAAGGCGGTCGATAGAGAATCGGTGTGTGCGGAGTTGTGTGCATAGATCAGGTCGGACGCATAGCCACAGCACCAGCGAGGAACCTGAGAGGCCTGTGGCGCGAGAGCGTACAATAATAGAAACAATTCACTGTTATCTAGGAAGTAAGATCCATTAAGTATAAGATACCAATAAAGTACCCATAGCCCGTAACTAAATCCACCCGTGCGTTCTGTCTTGTCTGTGAGGCAACATAGAAATTTTTTGCAACTAGCCCGTTGGCCGCTGAGGCAGCCTCGCTGATTAGACGGACAGAAACAGTTCGTTACAATAGTCAATGGGACATTCAATTGGTTGTTTAAATTAAGCATTACCTTTTAATCTACTACACTAGTCCGCTGTGGCCCAAAATGACTTTTTCTGATAGATTTCGGGATTTTTAATTTTTAAAGAATTATGTTTTTTTTGTGGTTTAGTTTTTTTTTTTTAATTTTTTAAAATCTGGTATTTTTTAATGTTTTTTTTTCAGAGGTAGTACTTCTTTTTATAAATAAATACAAATAACTTAAGTATCTTATATCTGGTTTCATAGATTTGTATGTTGTAATTTTCCATTGTATTTTTCCCCCGTTTTGGCCAGAGTTTTCTTGAGTAATGCTCAGTTCTAGCTCTACTATCCCATATGCACAGGAAGCAGCAGTATTTTGTGTAACCACCTTGCACCTTAGGCCTGGCCTAACCCGCTCAATCGCAGGTAAATCCTGCTCGGTGGAAGGTACCGGTACGAACTCGGTGGGGTCCCATCCCGAATCAGGGATTTAAAACCCAAAACGGAAACTTGGAGAGGCAGCTAAGCAATACTGCGGCTGCCCGACCTTCTGGTAAAGTGGAGGGAGACGATTTGCCGTCGACCAGCGCCAAAGCTAAATATACGTACGCCGAAAAGAGGAGTGCAGGTCACATACTCCGTCGGCAGAACGCAAGTACGGAGACCAGCCCGTCGGCCGACTGGTTGAAGAAGGTGGAGCTGGCCACGGCAGTGCTCCCCGACTTTAGCATGAAGCAACCAAGGGAGGTTCCTCAGCCTAAAAGGCAACGCTACGAGGAGACGCCAGGACCTGCGGTGAAACGCTCAAGGGCCCTGGTAAATATATCCTTCGCACAGATTGCCAAAGAAAGGACACTTATTGGTGTCCTGGATAGAGGCAGTGCAGATGGAAGGATTCCAAGGAACCAGTGGAAGTGGGTGGAAGCGACATTGGCCGACCGCTGCTGGAGAAGGACCCTAGGCCACCCCCAACCTGTAAGGACATGGGATGGTTCCAGGGCAACACAAAGATCGTAGCCTGCGAAGACGAGCGCTCCGTACAGCTGTACAAAGCACCGGTAGCGCAAGTCGAAGAGGTCTACCCAGGAGCAAAGCTCGTCGCGGTAGACTGGAGCGAAGTACCCAGTAGACCGAGGGCCAGAATCTGGGTGCCCGCCTCAATAAAGGAGCCGGAGCGCATCCCCAAGATGTTGCAGCGATGAAATCCACACCTATCTACCAAGGACTGGAAGGTAGTGAAAGTTGAGGCGACGCAGGGCCCCACAAACCAAGTGGTGGGCATCCTCAACAAGGAGTCGCTGGCCCCGATCGAGGCCGCTAAGAGTGAGCTGAACTTCGGCTTCAACTCGGTCACCATCAAGGTGTACAAGTCGGACGCAGCGAGGCCCGAGGCCCGTCCTGTCGACAAGACAGTCGAGCAGGAGGTGGCCTCGGAGATCAAAGCACCCGATGATGAGCTGGGGCCGGAACAGGATGGCTACCTCACAGACTCGACCCTCATGAAGGAGTTCGAGGCTATGTGTTGCGAGGACGGGCAGGTCACCGACGACTCGGACGCCGACACGAAAGTGGTGGAGATTGATCATAACGATGCCTCTAAGACTTCTGCAGATCAATCTCCACCACTGTAAAGCAGCATCTGCTGATCTCATACTGCGCTTGGTTTCAAGCGGAGTCGACGTAGTCCTAATCCAGGAGCCTTGCATGGTAGGAGGCAAGGTCTGTGGATTAGCGACGAAGGACTACAAGCTTACCGTAGCCCAAACGGAAGGTAAAACTCGTAGCTGCATACTTGCAAAAAGACACCTAAATATCTTTCTGCTCCACAATTTTAGCAACGGCGACAACACGGCGGCTAGCCTAGAGATACAAGAGACACACCTTAGACTGGTGTCGTCCTACATGGCCCACGAGGAAATCGATCCTCCAAGTTACCTCGTTCGCAAGCTAGCCAGCCACAGCAAGAGGTCGAATACAGGCCTCATAATAGGCTGCGCCGCCAACTGAGCGTCACACTCAATGGGGGAGCTCGGACACAAATGTAAGGGGTGAGTCACTTTTCAGCTTCATCCTAAACTCGAATCTGGTTATTTGTAATCGGGGGAGCGATCCCACCTTCATTATAAAAAACCGGCAGGAGGCTTTCGACCTCACTTTAGTGTCTGACAAACTGTCAGACATAATTAAGAGTTGGAAAGTCCTAGAGGACCACTCTTCTCTGATCATAGGTATATTGAGACAGTCCTATCTCTCGAAAACCCTAAACCCACTGACTACATAAACCCCAGGAAAGCCAACTGGGATATATATAGTTCAACGAGAAGGAACGTGTGAGTCGCTTCTAGCGACGCGACTCTACTTATACCCGTACTCAGTCAACATATACATTTTTGAGCTTTTGATTTTTTAGAATTTTTGAATTAAAAAAAAATTTTACATTTTACATTTTTTTGCTACATCTGTTATCTACATCTACATCTACAATGTATATTTTACATCTAACATGTATATTCTACATGTACCATTTAGATTCTACATCTCCGCTAGGGGTTGCTCGTGCACTGAACGCGGCAGAGTGTGCGAGCGAGAAGGAAAATGAGTTGCGTTATTGTTGACAGGAGTGGGCAGGGGAAGCAACTGATAATTAATTTCGTCATTCTGGCTGTAATTATGATCCGATCTGATTCAGATTCAGCAGTCTGCTAGATATGGGCATTCTCTTAGTTCTTAGTTTTATCGTATCTTTAAAATTGTGCCTGCCACAGATTTTCGTCCTTTGTGAGGGTGGAAGAGGGCGGGGAAAAATTTTGAAATACACTTGTAGCAGTGTGATATCACATGAGTCTGGAAACTAAATTTGGTTGCTCTAGCTTTTATAGTCTCTGAGATCCAGGCGCTCATCAAGACGGGCGGACGGACGGACAGACGGACATCGCTATATCGACTCGGCTATTGATGCTGATCAAGAATATATATACTTTATGGGGTCGGAAACGTTTCCTTCTCTGCGTTGCACACATCCACTTTTACCACAAATCTAATATACACCTTAACTCTTTTTTGAGTACGGGTATAAAAATGGAAGATTTACTTCCCCCTTTAGCACTCAAGATGATCTTAATCGTCTAGTGGACAATTTCACGGAAGCATGTAAAAAAGCCTTCACGGCAGCATGCCCTTCAACCAAACCTAAGGGGAAAAGGAAACCCCCTGGTGGTCAGAACAAATAGATATCCTACATAAAAGCTGCAGGACTCTTTTCAATAGAGCTAAAGGCCACAACGAGGAGGAGCACTGGGCAAACTACAAGAGTAAGCTAGCCCTATATAAGAGGGAAACTGGGAGAGCAAAGAGAGCCTCTTGGCAAAAATTCTGCTCTGACATTGAGGAGTCGTCGGAAGCCGCAAGGCTCCGTAAGATCCTCTCAATGGAGGTACGTGGACTAACTCTAGTGAGGAATCCCTACATATTTTTCTCGAGACACATTTTCCAGGGTGCACAGCCATCGAGCCGGCAGACCCCCCCTTTGACGGCCCGGCAACATCAATGGCGCACATCCTCACATAAACGAACATCAGCTGGCAATAAATAGTTTTAGTTCCTTCAAATCACCTGGTCCCGACCAGGTCATTCCGGCTCAATTACAAAAAGCCGGAGACACAGCCATTAACTGGTTGCAATGCATCTTCAGGAAGATACTGGTAGTGGGAAAAATTCCTCACGCCTGGCTTAAGGCTAAAATAGTCTTTATCCCCAAAGCAGGGAAAGCCTCACACTTAACCCCAAAGGACTTCAGACCAATCAGTCTATCGTCCTTTTTTCTCAAAACCTTTGAGAGACTAGTCGGAGAACAACCTTAAATCCTCAGTGGCTGTCAGGCGCACAACATGCCTACCGAAAAGGAAAATCCACGGAAACGGCACTCCAGGAAGTAGTCTCGATGGTAGAGAAATCGCTACACGTCAAAGAATACTCCTTAATAGCTTTCCTAGATATCGAGGGAGCTTTTTACAACATCATACCAGAGGCCATCACGGAGGCCCTGACTGACCTGGGGGTGGATCGTCACATGGTGGTGCTCATTGATCAATTGCTTACATGCAGGACGGACATCATCAATGGGATCGTCCACTCAGTCAAGTTATGTCAACAGAGGCACCCCGCAAGGATGTGTCCTGTCTCCCCTTCTATGGAACATAACAGTCAACAAGATTCTGTGTGACCTGGAAGGGGAGGGCTGCAAGGTGGTATCATACGCGGACGACGTTGCCATTATCTTCTCGGGAAAATTCCCTCAAACACTTTGCGATCTAATGACCGCAAAGCTCGCGCGACTGTCAGAATGGACAAAGTCGCGTGGACTGGGAGTCAACCCCTCTAAAACGGAACTTGTGTTGTTTACAATCAAATACAAAATCCCGTCTCTCAACCCCCCAATACTAAACGGATGCAGGCTCTCCTTCAGCGACAATGCCAGATATTTAGTGCTGGTAATTGACAAGAAGCTGTGTTGGAACCTGAATATCAAAGACAGAGTGAAGAAGGCCACGATAGCCCTCTAAACGTTCTCTTTCGTAGTGACCAGACGTGTTTTTGTTTTGCGCTCCGCATTTTCCTTTTGTTTAACTTAAACAGCCGGTGTTTTTTATCTATAATTTAACTTTCTAACTAACGTACATTAAAATCATACTTTTACCGCGGGTGCATGCCTGATAATTGTGTAAAAATACAACTTATTTAATAAATTTTGTGCGTCGGTTAGTCGTGTGTTTGTGTTGTTGCTTTTCGTAAGTACGCCCTCTCATTATATTTAGCCGCTCTTTGTCGTAGTTATTGCCATCTATCACTCTCTCTATCACCTAACTCTCAATAACTGTTCTTTCACTCTCGCTCTTGTAACTTTTTGTGCAGTAACGCTCTCACTTATAAGCTGTTGCTCTCCTCTCTCATCTTTTACCGATTTCGCTTTAAGCATTGCCCTAAGCATTTGCTCTGCACAGTGGTCGGATTGCTATTTTGTTTTGAACTTTTTTTTCACAAAGTAAAAAAAAAAAAGACATAAATATGGAATTTTCTGTCGTCTGTGCCAAAAAAACCTGTAAGAAGCAGATCACCCATGACCAGCCCAATATCCCCTGCTGGCCTTGCGAAAGCGTAGTGCACGCAAAATGTGTAGGGATCTCGGGCCGTGTAGGAGACGCCATTTCCCAAAACAACGGCATACATTATGGTTGTGAGGAATGCCGTGCTGTGGAAAACGACATGCGTTCGTTCATGAGGCAGACGTGGAGTGGCTTTAAAGAGCTGATCGTAGGCTTTAAACAGCAATATGATCGGCTCTTGGCCACGAACACTCAGTTCAGCAGTTTACAGCTGCTGGCTGAGTCTCCGAGGCGCAAGAAGTCTACTCCGTGGGACTTGCAAGTGCCGACTGCCTCATGTCCGCCGGCATCTGAAAAACTTACTCCGACCACTCCCTTAGTGCAGCAGTTGATTACGTTTGCTACTCCAAGGGCAACGATCGCTGCTGGTGATGCAGATTCGGGAGCCGAATGCGTCACTTCGGAGAGTATGCAGTTAGAAATGTCTGTAGAGTCCGTGTCCATCGAGTCCGCACCCAACCCCTTAACTATCCCCTCAGTTTCGCTCCCACCAGCTAATAGATGTCCAGGAACACCGGATACTGCCATCACAGGTACTAGGCCTGTGGGGCCAAAACCACTGGTGGGAGTCCCACCAAAGCGACAAGTTTTTGTCTCGCGGCTAGCCCCTGACCTCACATCCAATGATGTGACCGCTTTTATACAAAGCAAAATAAAAGCCGTCGGCTTAAAGGTGGAAAAATTTAACTTTTTTTACGCCAGGGAGATATCTTCCTTCAAGATAAGCGTCTCCGCAACTCAATTTGAAACCATTTGTTCCGCCAAGTTTTGGCCAGAGCATTTGGTGGTTAAAGAGTTTAAGGCTAAGAAAAAGAATAGGCCCCCCATTACTCTTCCTAGCATTCAGACCAGTGCTCCATCTCTATCCTCATCTTCCACCTCTACTTCCACCCATCCAAAAAACTAACTTCCTCTCTTGTAGTTACCTACCAGAATGCTAGAGGCTTGCGTAGTAAGCTCAGCACTCTTTTCCTTTAGAGTCTCGCATTCGCATCCCACGTTATTGTGTTCACCGAGACCTGGTTAAAGCCGGACATCCTTAGTTCCGAAGTTTTGGCAGGTCGGTACACATTTTTAGAAATGACCGTTCGTCTCGACGTGGAGGTGGGGTCCTCATTTCAGTAAACTCAAACTTCACGTCTGAACATTTCATGGTCCAGGTTCAACAAGACCTGAAATTCCTGTGCATTTGCATTTTCATTACTTGCTCGTATATTCCACCTTCCTCGGATATCTTAATATACGAGCATCACCTGACCGCTTTAAAAACTGTTTCTTCCTCGCTATCAGATAAAGACCATATGATAGTTCTTGGTGATTTTAATTTGCCAGGTGCTGTTTGGTCTTCGGTAAACGAGTCTAATAACCTTGTGCCCATGTCACGACATGACTTTATCGACGGCTTGCTAGACCTATCCCTGTCTCAAGTCAACCATGTGAAAAATTCCTTGGGTCGATTGCTTGATCTGTGCTTTGTCTCGGATCCGACCATAGCGTTTTTAACCCGAGCCCTTCCACTCAGTGTACCTGAAGACTCCTACCATCCTACATTCGAAGTGTCAGTCGATATTGGCCCTACTGTATTGGATCGAATGGGTAGGCTATCTGAACGTGTCTGCTGCTTTCGTAAAGCCAAGTTTACGAAGCTTAATAACCATATTAGGGATTTTGATTGGTCCGCTCTGTACTTGTGCTGACGTTATGAAAGGCACACACATTTTTTACAATGTACTTGACACATTTTTTGATTCTTGTGTCCCACTTTCTTGTCCGGTTAGATCTGGAAAGCCTCCTTGGTTTACCAAGGAGTTATCCAGTCTAAAAAATTTAAAATCAAGACTTTATAAAAAATTTCGAGAAGTTGGTTCTCCCTCTTCTCTTTCTCACTATGTAATAGCTCGGTCAAATTTCTCCGTTCTTAACGCTCAATGCTATAAGAACTACCTATCTCGATGCAGGATACGATTTTCACAGGACCCTAAACAGTTTTACAGCTTCGTAAATAGTAAGCGTAGAACGTCCGTACATCCATCCTCGTTATTTTTTCTCAATATGTCAGCAAACAATGATCAGGCAATTGCCGATCTTTTTGCCAAATTTATCCAAACAACCTATTCTCATGAAAGCTACTCTGGTCAGCCGTATCCATACAGTTTACCAAGGTCGAATGGCATCTTCAGCCCCTTGTTAAATGAAAGCTCACTGCTTCATGATCTTCGACTAGTTAAGCCGGTGTTTTCACCAGGTCCCGACGGAGTTCCCGGCTGTGTACTCAGGTACTGTTCCGACGCTCTGTGTGGACCCTTGCTTAAACTATTCACCCTATCCATTAACTCTTCATGCTTCCCCCCATCTGGAAGGAATCTTTTATTATTCCGCTCCATAAGAAAGGTAGCAAGTCTGATGCAAATAATTAAAGGGGTATATCTAAGTTATCCGCTATTCCTAAAATGTTTGAAAAAATTTTAACTCCGCACTTGCAACATCTCTGCAAATCACTTATATCTCCGTCCCAGCACGGATTTATAAGGCGACGATCAACAACCACAAATTTATTAGAGTTTACCTCTTTTATCATTAAAGGCTTTCAAGGTAACTTGCAGACGGATGTCATTTACACTGATTTTAGTAAAGCATTTGATTCTGTAAACCATTCCCTTTTAGCACAAAAACTTGACCTTTTAGGGTTTCCGCCTAATCTTTTGAGATGGATTTCTAGCTACCTTTGTTCTAGGTCTCAAAGAGTCCTCTTCAAAAACTCCTTCTCTTCACCTGTTAAGGTTACTTCTGGAGTACCACAGGGCAGCCATCTAGGCCCCCTACTATTCACACTCTTTATTAATGATCTGCCTTCAGTATTAACAAACTCTCGAGTACTCATGTATGCGGATGATGTTAAACTTTGTGTCCAGTATAAGGACATTTCATTTCACTCTCGCTTGCAATCCGATCTCAATAACTTTCAATCATGGTGTTGTGCAAATATGTTACACCTAAATGCCTCGAAATGCAAAGTAATGACATTTCATCGCTCCAGCCCCCTATTGGCTCCTTATAGCCTCTGCGGTGGTTCTCTTGAGAGAATCACCTTGGTTGATGATCTTGGTGTTAAATTAGACCCAAAGTTGAAGTTTTCTGAACACATTTCTACCATGGTAAATAAGGCCATGGGTGTGCTTGGGTTTATAAAGAGGTGGTCAAAGGAATTTGACGACCCCTATATAACGAAGACTCTCTATATCTCGCTTGTTCGTCCGATTTTAGAATACGGCTCTTGTGTATGGTGCCCCCAGTACAAAGTACACCAGGACCGTATAGAATCAGTCCAGAAAAACTTTTTGCTCTGCGTGGCCTTAACTGGGATGCAGGTGTGAGACTGCCATCTTATCCTCGTAGATTGCTTTTAATAAACCTTCCAACCTTAGTTAGTCGTAGAAAAATGCTTGGTGTGATTTTTATGCACAACCTGATCAAGGGTGATGTAGATAGCCCTGACTTGTTGAGCCGCATAAACTTTACGATTCCTATTAGATCTACTAGAAACTTCATTCCTCTTTTCCTTCCGCTTTGTAGATCGAATTATTCCTTGCACGAACCATTTAGGGTACTTTGCTCGGACTTCAATTCCCTTTACCACATAATATCAACTACTAATTCCCTTCCTCTTCTTAAATCACTAATACTAACATACCTTTCCCGTAATTAGTTATATTTTTTAGCTATCTTTGCATGCTTAGCTCTTTGAGTTGTGTTTAGCTCTAATTTTCCTCGAATTTTAGTCTAACACCTATCTTTCCTGCATGCTCGCGATCGGTTCGGTAACACGCGTCGCGCGTCATGCGGCAGCGCCCCTCGGTCGGTTGGGCGGGAGGAGGGCTGCGTTTCTGCCTGGGTTCCGCGCGTAACAGGCTTCGGCTTGGTGTCGCATGGGCCACTTGATGGTGCAGTCATTGCATATCAACGTCCAACGTCCATACAACAAAGAGAACGCAAAGAGTTTGGTTTCGCATATCCTATTGCACTTCATACTAATTTTGGTTGGGTCATTACAGGCAGCTACCATCTCGGTATTGATCACACCCACGCACTAGCTCATCACGCTCACGAGGATCTGGATACCTTAGTCCGATCGTTCATGGACATGGACCAAGTTCAATCAAGTAGCGCTACCATTGACGCTACTGATCCCGCTGAACAACACTTCGTTCAAACGCATTCCCGCAGAGACGATGGAGTGTACGTCGTCCAATATCCATTCAACGATTCCGCTCCGCCGATGGGGTCCACATTGCCGCAAGCCTTACGCCGCTTTTCTTCTCTCGAACGGAAATTTCGAAAGTTTCCGGCACTCAAACAACAATATGTCGACTTTATGGAGGATTACTTACTACGAGGACACATGGAGTTGATTCCTTTTACTACCGTAGCCGAGGATCTCGCCAGTCACAATTATTTAGCACACCACGCAGTATTTAAACCAGATGGTACCACTACAAGATGCCGAGTTGTGTTCGATGGCTCTGGGGAGGACTGCCAGGGACATTCACTTAATTCACGGCTACACATTGGACCACCTATTCAAAGGGATTTACTTGGAGTCTGTTTACGGTTCCGTCAGCATCGTTATGTGTTCTGTACGGACATTGAGAAAATGTTAAGAGGCATCCGAGTTTTAGAAGAACACAAGCAGTACCAACGTATCGTCTGGCGAAAGGAGGAGACTGCTACACTTGATCATTACCGACTACTGACCGTGACATATGGTTTAGCTTCTTCACCGTTTTTAGCTGTTAGAGTTCTCAAGCAAATCGCTCAAGATTATGCCGAGTTGTATCCGAATGCTGCTGCGGTGCTGGTAAGGGACGCTTACGTGGATGATATTCCTACAGGCTGCGATAATATCAACGAACTCATTGCACTCAAGGATGAATTGATTTTGTTATTGAGCCGAGCTCAATTTAAACTTCGAAAATGGAGTTCAAACTTTTGGCCACTACTACAATCGCTGCCAAAGGACATTTGTGAGTATCCCCTTGAAGCTCTAGAGGAAGAGAGCCCAGATCAATATGTGAAGGTTCTTGGTATACGCTGGGACCCGGCTGCTGAAAACCTTTCCTTCAAGCTGACCATTCCCGACGCCACAGCTGCTCTGACAAAACGGATTTTGCTGTCGGAGCTTGCCAAGATCTACGATCCCCTGGGTTTGCTTGCCCCCACCAATGTATTTCTAAAGGTTCTCTTTCAAGATAGTTGGCTGAGCTCGATCGAATGGAACGAGCCACTACCGCCGCAGTTATGCTCACGTTGGCAACAGTTTGTAGCAGAAGTTTATTTATTGGAAACGTGTCGCATATCTCGCTACCACTTCAAGCAACGGAGCTGCATGGATTTGCCAATGCGTCGTCTCATGCATACGCCGCTGTTATTTACAGTCGCGTGAAACTCAGTAAGGACTATGTTGTCAGAATGATCGCCGCAAAAACCCGTGTTGCGCCCATCAAACCTGTATCCATTCCGCGGCTCGAATTGAATGCAGCCCATCTTCTTTCAAAATTGATGTCTCTGGTTAAGCAAGCACTAACTATTCCTATTTCCAGTACCTCATGTTGGTCTGACTCAGAAGTTGTGCTGCATTGGCTCTCATCACCCCCTCGGACTTGGAACACTTATGTTTGCAATCGGGCTGCTGAGATTTTAGATGCTTGTCCACGTAGTTGCTGGCAACACATTCGCACTGGGGACAATCCCGCGGACTGTGCATCACGCGGACTTTTACCGAGGGATCTTGTAGACCATCAGCTGTGGTGGAATGGACCACCGTGGCTTTCACAATCACGGCTCACTTGGCCACCTGCTAAGGCAAAGTTTGCACTGTCGACTGAGGAGGCTGCGCACATGGAAGTTAAGGTCAAGCCTCAAGTTAATCTACACATTTCCGATGAAGGAAATGATCTCTTGCGGACAATAAGCTACTGCTTTCGCTTTGTACACCGTCTTCGCAGCAAGGAACGCCTGTCATCGTTTTTATCATCATGGGAGCTTCAATATGCACTGATTCGCTACACTCCATTTATTGACGACCAAGGAACAATGCGCGTAGGAGGACGCATTGACAATTCAATGGCAACTTACGATGCAAAATATCCCATACTTCTTCCAAAAGAATCACCAGTCGCTGTTTTATTAGCTAGACACCAGCACGTCACATCGCTACACGCTGGAGTTGAATTTATGTTCCATACGTTGAGACAGAAGTATTGTATTCTCGGTGCCCGCAACATTGTCCGGAAAATCGTATTCAACTGCAAGATTTGTTTCCTCCAGCGCAAAAGTACGAGCACACAACTCATGGCTGATCTTCCCGCTTTTCACGTTCAGCCCACCCGCTGTTTTCTCCATTCTGTATTGGATTACGCTGGACCAGTTACTATCAAGACATCGGTAGGTCGGACACCGAAGCTTGGCAAAGCTTGGTTTTCTATCTTTGTTTGTCTGTCCACCAAAGCAATTCATATCGAACTCGTCAGTGATTTGACGACTCCCGCATTTATCGCAGCCTTCAAACGATTCTGGTCTCGACGTGGCCCTATATCCGATTTATACTCAGACAATGGCACAACATTCCACGGAGCCAGACGGGAACTAACGGAAATGCAACGGATGGCTGTATCTCAAAGTCAAGACGAGGACATTGCAAGTTTTCTGACGAGTCAGGAAATCAACTGGCACTTCATTCCGCAGTCTGCCCCGCATTTTGGAGGTATTTGGGAGACTGGCGTACGATCAATTAAGCATCACCTTCGCCGAGTAATTGGTAGCAGTGCATTAACTTTCGAAGAATATTCATCCGTTTTAACCCAGATTGAAGGTCTACTCAACTCTCGCCCACTGTGCGCTCCCAGCGATCACAGCTTGGATCCCCTTAACCCCGCTCATTTTCTTACAGGTCAACCTCATATGTCGGTGCCAGAGCCCTCGTTCTTGGACGTGAACATTAACAGACTGCAGCGTTGGAGACAACTGCAAGCCAAGGTTCAAGGGTTCTGGAAACGTTGGAATCTTGAATACCTTTCTTCCTTGCAGTCGCGCCCCAAATGGCAGCAGGAGACCAACAACATAACAGTGGATACGCTTGTGGTACTGAAGGAGCCGAATCAACCTCCTAGCAAGTGGCTGCTTGGCCGAATCACCGAAGTTCATCCTGGTCAAGACGAGAGAGTTCGAGTGGTCACCGTAAAAACTGCCCGAGGAGTGTACAAGAGACCTATCACCAAAATTGCTGTGCTTCCCTTTAACTGAACAGTCGTTCAGGGGGGCCGGTATGTTGAGAAATTAATCGCTTAGTTTTAGGTCAATATTCATTCCTATAGTAGTTGCCCTAATCATATGCTCGCTATTGTTTTGCCCGCTGTTCTTATTGCTTATGTCCAAAAACTTAACTGTAACGTTCTGTAACTGTTCTCACACGTATAGCCAAAACGCGCAGCTGCACACGAAGACATCGATATGCACCGTCTTGGTATTGGAGTGTCGCATCGCGTGATCTTCTAATTCCCTTATGGGCACGACGTCATTTGTGGAGTTGAGTCAATACAAAATTATATTTATCATATTTGTCGCCCCCGCTTTGTATAAAACCCGCTGTGCAAATAACATTTAAACCACTAATATATATATATGAATAAAATAAAACTACATATAGATTAATACAGTCCACTCATTCGCAACCACCTAGGCAACATTTATATTGAAATGAAACTATTGAATTAACGACAGTGGTGAAATTTAGTTATTTAGTCATTTAGTAAATTATGTATTTCCATATATCTTTTTTGTACAGCTAATTTATAGTTATTAATATATAAAGGCGATTCAAGAGCATACAGAAATAATAGGTTTCAATTAACATTTCGGGACAACTCGTGGGTTTTTTGAGAAGGGCGTTGAGGCGAACTAAACTCATTTTGTTTTTCTTTATTCAGGACGCTAAATGTTTCTTATGAATTCTTGTGATTTAATCGCATTATAACCAATATACTCAACGAAATCCATTGCAATCCAAATCCTTTCCATTGAAATTTCGCTGTTGGAACCTATTATTATTGTGTTTTCCATCTTAACGGTTTAATGTCAATGTTGTTGTTGTCATTCTCATATACAGCTGTCGGCAGATTTTATGCAAAGAGCAGCCATCCGATGCACAGAAAGGCCAAATAAAGAAACAGCTTGGAAAGTGTCTGTTCGTCCTCGTATTGCGTGGTGCCTCGATTGGCAGCTTAAAAAAAGAAAGGAGGCAAATAAAGCAAATGGAAATATTGAAACAAGTTAACACACAATGTTTCAACACAAACGGAAACGAACTCACCAGGCGGACGCGGTTCACCAAAATTTAGTGAGGATGTAATAAAACCGAAAGGAAAAGCGCCAATACCAAACGACATGTGAAAACCATCACCAAATCCAAAGCCAGGAAAACCAGGCGCCGGCTCTGGCTCGGTGCGGTGGCCAGCAGGTCGTGGGGGAACTTTATTGCTGTAGAAATAGGTTAGCAAATATCATTGTTGAATTGAATTTTTTCCTAATTTATTTTTTAGTTGAAGTTTTACTTACCGAGGATCCTCTTGTCGCGTGCTATTTCGCCCATAAAGTGGTATGACTTTGTCTTTGTCCACTGCAGCCTTGCATACTGGGCAGAGTTTACGACTGGGGCGCGTTAATAGCCACTGGTGTAAGCAGGGCCAGCAGAACAAATGCCCACACATACTAACCACGGCATCTTTTGCTGTGTCCAAACATATGTTACACTCATAAAGTGACTCATCGCTTTGTTCTTTATCGGTAGAACTGTTGCCGGGTGTGTCCTTGGTTTTGGCACTTAAGCCAGGTTCAGAGTCAGGCGATCCTGACTGTGCAGTCCCAGGATCGCCAGATTTCTTCAAATCAGCAATGTTTCCACCAGCAAGAGAACTGCCCGTAAATGAGTACGATGTACTAGAAGCAGCCCCTTCTTCCTCCGAAACTGTCAACGTTGACTTTTCAAACGGTCGCATTTGAGTTGAAGAAATATGTTTATTGTGTTTTTCATTGTTCACGTGCTCTGTGACTGTGTCCGTATTGTTGACATTGCTACTCCCAGTATATGGTAGGTTGGGCTGCTCCGGTACTGTCGCAAAATGTGGCATTTCCATGTTTGATCCACTCTTCCACATGTAGAGAACATAATCATTATAAGGTTTATTGTATAAATCACACAAAAAAAATTTAATTTTAAGTTTTCAGGATGTTCAACGATGAAAAAACTGTTATTTTTATACCCGTACTCGAAGATCTAAGGGGTATATTGTATTTGTGGTGAAAGTGGATGTGTGCAACGCAGAGAAGGAAAAGCAGCACGAGACCACGCTATCCATTCTCTTTCTCGCTCGCACACACTCCGCCCTATGCAATGCACGACCTTTGCGAAGAAGATGTAGAATCTACATTTTGTATGTAGAATCTACAATTCAGATGTGGCTTGGACATTGTAGACGTAACAGATTTAGCAAAAAAAAATTCAAAAATTGATATACTGACTGAGTACTTATTACTCAGTAATTATTATTCTGGCTATAATAATGATTCGATCAGATCCATATTTGGCAATCCGGTAGATATGGTCATTCTTTACGATACTGCGTTTTTAGTTTTATCGTATCTTTAAAATTGTGGCTGGCACAGATTTTCGTTCTTTGTGGGGGCGGAGTCTGAAAACAAAATGTTGTTGCTATAGCTCTTATAGTCTCTGAGAACTATGCGCTCATCGGGACGGACGGACGGACAGACAGACAGACTCAGATATTGATGCTGATCAAGAATATATATACTTTATGGGGTCGGAAACGTTTCCTTCTCAGCGTTGCACACATCCACTTTTACCAAAAAACTAATATACCCCATAACTCTTTGAGTATGGGTATAAAAATAACGAGAAGGAACGTGTGAGTCGCATCTGGGGACGCGACTCTACTTTTATACCCGTACTCAGTCAGTATATAAATTTTTTAGCTTATGATTTATGTAGAATTTAAAAACATTTACATTTTTTTGCTAAATCTGTTATCTACATCTACAATTTATATGTTACATCTAACATGTAGATTATACATCTAACATGTATATTCTACATGTACCATTTAGATTCTACATCTTCTCCGCCAGCTGGCGCTGGCGTACATAACGAGGCAGAGTGTGCGAGCGAGAAAGAGAATAAGTAGCGTGGTCCCTTGCTGGAGGAGGTGGGGGAAGCAACTGAAAATTAATTTCTTCATTCTTTAAAATTGTGCCTGCCACAGATTTTCGTCCTTTGTGGGGCGGGGCGGGCGGGGCGAAATTTTGAAATACACTTATAGCAGTGTGATATCACATGAGCCTGGAAACAAAATTTGGTTGCTCTAGCTTTTATAGTCTCTGAGATTTAGGCGCTCATCAAGACGGACAAACGGACATGGCTATATCGACTTGGCAATTGATGCTGATCAAGAGTATAAATACTTTATGGGGTCGGAAACGTTTCCTCTCTGCGTTGCACACATCCAATTTTACCACAAATACAATATTGATATATATTGATAATATTAATTCTTTTTTGAGTACGGGTATAAAAATTGTAAATCGCTCTGTCAGTGATGTGACAGTTCTTAGACGGTATAATATACATTAATTGAATGCAGAAAGGTCCCAGAAAGCTCCGCGTTTGGATCTAGGAGTACATGGGTGCATGACTTCAGTTTGGAAAAACGCATGTGGAATGGCCTGTGTCACAGTGACATAAATGCTTTTGACTGATGATAGTAAAGTTGTACTATTTGGTAAGATAGACTCAAAAGATTATGTTTGGCATTCACAGACATACATATTACAGTTGAAAAATTCCTGTTAAAAGGCTGTTTTAACCGGATAATGACTTGAAACACCCATAAAATCTCGCTAAGAATTGATTTTCATCGGAAAAGATCGACGTTTTGCCATGGCCAACTGTCCAACTGAATATTATTCTCATCGAAATCTTATGCTGGAATACCAAATACATTGTTGCAACTGCAAATCCGTCAACCAGAGCAAAGTTCTAGCAAGTGGTTCAAGGATTATTGGCGCAACTTCTATTGAAGCGTTGGCAAGAGATTTATGACCCATATTCGGCCGGTACAGTTTCGCGATGAAAACTAAATTGATTAAAAACTAAATATTAAAGCTCAAGAAACATGAAGAACCTAAAATATATGTTTTATATTTGAGTTTCGTTGTTTTTTTTTCAATTTTCTAAAAAAAAAAAACACTACTATTTCATTGAACAGCATATTTTATGGGTATTCGGCTTATGTCATGTAAAACAAGAAGATGGAACTCAAATGTATGGATATTTCTTCGGTTTTTTTAATGCTTACAGTCCAGTCTATTTAAAATGGTATAGTTTCTTCAATTTGGATAACTGGAAGTGTCTCAAAAACAGTTTTGAAAGTGATGAGGTGCGGCACTACTATTTCATTGAACACAACTGTGCATGTTTAATAAACTAAAAACAGAAAAAGTTCATTTTATATCAAAGATCAACATTTTTACTATCTGTTCATACAATTTTTTTTTAATTTTCTACTATGGTATCTTTATAAACGAGAAGGAACGTGTGAGTCGCTTCTGGGACGCGACTCTACTTATACCCGTACTCAGACAGTATATACACTTTTGAGCTTTTTTGATTTTTTAGAATTATAGAATTAAATTTTACATTTTTTTGCTAAATCTGTTATCTACATCTACAATGTATATTCTACATCTGACATGTATATTCTACATGTACCATTTAGATTCTACATGTCCTCCGCTAGGGGTTGCTCGCGCACAGTGTGAACGCGGCAGAGTGTGCGAGCGAGAAAGAGAATGAGTAGCGAGTCTATTGCTGAAGGAGGCAGGGGGAGCAGCTGAAAATGAATTTCTTCATTCTGGCTATAATTATGATCCGATCTGATTCAGATTCAGTTTTATCGTATCCTTAAAATTGTGGCTGCCACACATTTTCCTCTTTTGTGAGCAAAGCAAAAAGTCACTTTTTGGCGCACATAAATTATTCGTGCAGTCGTTAGGTTCTTCCTTTCCCCAAGGTATTGTTGCCCTATTAGGCTGGGCCAAAGTTTGATAAAAAATTTATTTTTTGTTTTTTAAAGCGGAATATGCTAAAATTTTGTTTTTTGTTTTTTCAAGCGGACACCCCCTTATTCTGTTCTTTGTTAGTAATTGAAATTATACAATTTTTTTTTAAATGTTATGTTTGAGGGTTGCTACCACGAAAAGAAAAACACACTTTTTATAACCGTGCTCAAAAAAGAGTTAAGGGGTCTATTAGATTTGTGTTAAAAGTGGATGTGTGTAACGCAGAGAAGGAAACGTTTCCGACCCCATAAAGTATATATATTCTTGATCAGCATCAATAGCCGAGTCGATATAGCCATGTCTGTCTGTCTGTCTGTCCGTCTCGATGAGCGCCTAGATCTCAGAGACTATAAGAGCTAGAGAAACCAAATTTTATTTCCGGACTTATGTGATATCACACTGCTACAAGTGTATTTCAGAATTTCGCCCAGCCCAGCCTGAAAACGCAGAATCGTAGAGAATGCCCATATCTACCAGATTGCCAAATCTGAATCAGGTCGGATCATAATTGTAGCCAGAATGAAGAAATTCATTTTCAGTTGCTTCACCCGTCTCCCCCTGAATGAAACACGCTACTGATTCTCTTTCTCGCTCGCACACTCTGCCTCGTTCAGTGCGCGAGCAACCCCCAGCGGAGGAGATGTAGAATCTAAATGGAACATGTACAATCTACATGTTAGATGTAGAATATACATTGTAGATGTAGATAGCAGATGTAGCAAACAAATTTAAAATGTAAAATTTTTTTTTTAAGTTCTCAAATTCTAAAATTTTAAAAAATCATATGCTCAAAAATATATATACTGACTGAGTACGGGTATAAGTAGAGTCGCGTCCCCAAAAGCGACTCGCACGTTCCTTCTCGTTTGGTTAAATATACATTAAAAAAATAATTCGTCGTTTTTTTTCAAATAATATTGAAACTTAACTAGTTCATATGGATAATTAGGAATTTTTATTTTATTTTTTAGTTACTGTTAAAAAATTTACGATTAGTGAATCTCAGGAAGTTCAGCTGAGGTTGATATATTTAGTTAAATTGTTCGCAAAAACTTGTGCATGTTTTTTACTGCCAATAACTGATTAATTACGATATTAATGGTATCAACATATGTATATGCAATAGATTTCACCACATTATTCAATTCATTCAGCAAAGAAAAAATTCGGTAGCAACCTCTAACAAATTTTTTTAAAATAAAAATAAAAACTTTAATATCCAAGCTTAAGATAACAAAATTAAGGGGTGTCCCGTTTAAATTTCAAAAAAAACATTTTTTGGCTCACGCTAGTGAACTACGCATTAAAATTGATCCATTAATCCAAAAATTGTCATATTTGGATTCACCAGTTAAATCACAAAAGTAAATAAAGTCATTAATGAGAAAAATCGAATACCAACTATAATGAATGGCTGAGGGAGCATAGAGGTTTGTGGGTGTATAGGTGCAGCTGGAGCTGTGAGAATGGTCTTAATTAATGACAAAATTAGCAAGGACATGTACAATGATAATTTGAGGACAAATTCCATCAATGTCCATTAAATTTGGGCAGTCCTAAGACAATCTTGTATCAGCCAAAATTATGCCGAAAAAATGTATCTTTTTTGGATCAAATCTTGCCACCAATTTACCAATGCAACCAATGAAAACTCAGCTCCAGTTACCTGACTTAATTCCGATGAAGCATGTTTGGAGAAATTTGGAAAAAAGGATACAAATACCCAAAATTTCATTGAAAGAATCCTTGAAAATGGCTCTGCTTGTTTAGTGGGTCAATATTAATGCATAGGGCACCAATATCTTGAAGGAAAGGTTGTGCAGAGGACTTTTAGACAATATTCGTTCGTTCTCTTTCTTAGTGACCAGACGTGTTTTTGTTTTGCGCTCCGCATTTTCCTTTTGTTTAACTTAAACATCCGGTGTTTTTATCTATAATTTAACTCTCTAACTAACTTACATTAAAATCAATTTTTACCGCGGGTGCATGCCTAATAATTGTGTAAAAACACAACTTATTAATTTAATTTTTTGAGTCGGTTAGTCGTGTGTTTGTGTTGTTGCTTTTCGTAAGTACGCCCTCTCATTACATTTAGCCGCTCTTTGTCGTAGCTTTTTCCGTCTATCACTCTCTCTCTCTCTATCACCTAACTCTCAATAACTGTTCTTTGTCTCTCGCTCTTGTAACTTTTTGTGCAGTAACGCTCTCACTTATAAGATGTTGCTGCAACCACTTCTCTCTCTCGTCTTATTTTTACCGATTTCGCTTTAAGCATTTGCTCTGCTCAGTGGTCTGATTGCTTTTTGTTTTGAACTTTTTTTTCCCGAAATAAAAAAATAAAAGACATCAATCAAGAATTTTCTGTCTTCTTTGCCAAAATAAACCTGCAAGAAGCAGATCAGCACTCTTTTCCTTGAGAGTCTCGCATTCTCGTCCCACGTTATTGTGTTTACCGAGACCTGGTTAAAGCCGGACATCCTTAGTTCCGAAGTTTTGGCAGGTCGGTACACATTTTTAGAAATGACCGTTCGTCTCGACGTGGAGGTGGGGTCCTCATTTCAGTAAACTCAAACTTCACGTCGGAACATTTCATGGTCCAGGTTTAACAAGACCGAATGGGTAGGCTACCTGAACGTGTCCGCTGCTTTTGTAAAGCCGAGTTTACGAAGCTTAATAACCTTATTAGGGATTTGGATTGGTCCGCTCTGTACTTGTGCACTGACGTTATGAAAGGCACAAACATTTTTTACAATGCACTTGACACATCTGGGAAGCCTCCTTGTTTTACCGAAGAGTTATCTAGTCTAAAAAACTTAAAATCAAGACTTTATACAAAATTTCGAGAAGTTGGTTTTCCCTCTTCTCTCTCTCGCTCGGTCAAATTTCTCCGTTCTTAACGCTCAATGCTATAAAAATTACCTATCTCGATGCAGGATACGATACGGCACAAATAATTATAGAGGTATATCTAAGTTATCCGCTATTCCTAAAATGTTTGAAAAAATTTTAACTCCGCATTTGCAACATCTCTGCAAACCACTTATATCTCCGTCTCAACACGGATTTATAAGGCGGCGATCAACAACCACCAATTTATTAGATTTTACCTCTTTTATCATTAAAGGCTTCCAAGGTAATTTGCAGACGGATGTTATTTACACTGATTTCAGTAAAGCATTCCAATCTGTAAACCATTCCCTCCTAGCACAAAAACTTGACCTTCCGCCTAATCTTTTGAGATTGATTTCTAGCTACCTTCGTTCTAGGTCTCAAAGAGTCCTCTTCAAAAACTCCTTTTCTTCACCTGTTAAGGTTACTTCTGGAGTACCACAGGGCAGCCATCTAGGCACCATTCTATTGACACTCTTTATTAATGACCTGCCTTTAGTATTAACAAACTCTCGAGTACTCATGTATGCGGATGATGTTAGACTCTGCGCCCAGTATAAGGATATTTCATTTCACTCTCGCTTGCAATCCGATCTCAATAACTTTTAGTCAGGGTGTTGTGCAAATATGTTACACCTAAATGCTTCGAAATGCAAAGTAATGACATTTCATCGCTCCAGCCCCTTTTTGGCTCCTTATAGCCTCTGCGGTGGTTCTCTTGAGAGAATTACCTTGGTTGATGATCTTGGTGTTAAATTAGACCCAAAGTTAATGTTTTCTGAAAACATTTATACCATGGTAAAGAAGGCCATGGGCGTGCTTGGGTTTATAAAGAGGTGGTCAAAGGAATTTGACGACCACTATATAATGAAGACTCTCTATATCTCGCTTGTCTGTCCGATTTTAGAGTAAGGGTCTTGTGTATGGTGCCCCCAGTACAAAGTACACCAGGACCGTATAGAATCAGTCCAGAAAAACATTTGATGTGCGTGGCCTCAACTGGGATGCAGGTGTGAGACTGCCATGTTTAAACTTTAAACTAGAATGTTAAGGGTGTACGAATAATGTGTGCTTAGTGTATTTAGAATCTAATTTTTATATCCTCATGCAGACTAACATGTTTCGGGATTGGAATAAAAAAAAATCAAACTCGTGATATGCACGTATACATATTTACATAGTATAAGCTAATGTGTACTTTGTCAAAAATAAAGATGGTAATAAGATTATAAGAAATACATACAAATTTACAAGTTCATATTAGTATAAATATATTTATATTAATGGCACCGTGCGACTAATGTATTAACTATTAATACGTGAATATCAAAATATAAACGTTCATCTGCTAAGCCAAGCCACACACCCATACATATGTATGTATGTTTACATTGGCATAGTGGAGTTTAAAAACACTGCACAAATATATATGTATAAATATTTAGAATTAAATGCCTTGAATCAGAATAAAAATATTCTTGTTAATAATGTTGCTACTTATGTAGGTAATCTATTTTGTCCTTGTTCATTCTGGGTTTAGTTGCAAATGTATATCAACTTGATTATACGTATGTATGTATGTATGTACATGCATATAAATATACACGAACGGGTAGTCCAAATAAACACGTATACCAAGGATGTGTTTTTTAATATAACGATACGATATTTACGTACATAAAATGGTTGGAATGGAAAAATAGAAACGTATTGTTTATTTATTAAAATTCTCAATTGGCGTATCAAATTATGGTCTGGTTACACGTCCAATCCAAAATAGACCTGGAGTACAATCGATGTGATTGATGTTTGGGTGCATTATATCGATGTTTTAGGATAACATTATAGCCTCAGCACACTAAGCACATCCCGGGGTAACGGTGGGAATTTTTGACTAGTGCCACTAACCATACAGTATATAGAAGTGCCAGTTAATACAACGAAAGTGGTGCAGCTGAGTTTTCAGCGTACGTTCCCTGGTCTTCGGCTCTGGGAATGACCGCGTTCGGCTCAAGACGTGACTCGAGCCGACGGACAGCAAGCATTTATGTGTGCACGTGTAACACACCAAAATATATGATTGTATGCATGGAATAATTTTTACCTGCCGAAACGACTTTGCTTGAGATTTCAGTTTACGTAAATGTGTGTGTGCCATGTATTCTCACATAATGTGCTTGCGTGGGTTCTACAATTTTTGGGCGCTTGAATTGGTTTTTCGTTTTGGTTTGAGGGCTGATGTAGCGACCTGAACTGATCTGCCGCAACATAAACGAGGAATTGGCATCTTTTTTTTATTATATGCATTTATTTTTACTTTTGCATATAAATATTGTGTAAATGCCGTCAGCATTCGACTTAGTTTGTTGCCGTACTATAAACTTTGTCAATAAATTTATGTTTTTTAGATTCTATAACACAAGTGATTTGAACTAAAATAATTTTATATATGTATTTATATACATTTGAGACACAAATCGGAGTGGCTTACGTTTACGTTTTCCTGGAGTGTGTATCCAGCAACACGAGCGGAATCCACAGAATTATCGGGACCGTCTGTGGACTGAGAGAACAGCTGACACTCAGCTCAGGAATATATGTTCTACAAATATTCCTGAAGTGAATGGTGCAAGATGTAGGCAAAAACTGTGCGCAAAAAAAAAAAAAAGCATACGGTACATAAACCGTTTACAAATTTGTCGTCGCAACTAGAACTTGAACCAGTTGGACTGCGGAGAGGGTTTCCTACGTCGTGCAAATGAGGGTCTAAAGACACGGCGACAGCCTCTGTTGATTGCAGTTGTAGAGAATGAGTGAACAGGCAGTGATGGTACTGTTTCTGATACTGATTTTATTCAACAAACTTAAATTCTATTTATAGGTAACAAAAGGTACAGAAAGTGCTGAGTCTAGTAAGAATATGGTAAAAGAAAATTGAAATTAATATTAAATTAATTTGGATTTAATATGATATTGTGTTATTGGGCAATTTTGATAGTCAGCAATTGCACCAGTGTTTTTGCACTCTGAAGAGCGATCGCATCGTTGGCAGAAATTGCTGCAGAAGCGGTTATTGTTGACTCAGCTACAATGCTTTGTCGTTTGTTATTATGTCTCCCGTTACATGGGTCGACCTGACTTATTCGATAAGTGTATATTATGTAATATTAATTAATGCTTAAATATGCGACTGAACAAGAGTTAAGGGGTATATTGTTGTAAGGAGGTTTTCTCAGGCCGGGGTACAGCCTCTCAGTCTGTCCAGGGCCCGATCCTAATACAGCCTATTTGTATTTTTGGGATCTAGAGATTGGAATGAGTGGCGAGGGAAAAGTGCGGCGCTCCGCGCTTGGGACCGAACGGGGCCCTTACAGCCAGGCACGGGAAGGAAATGCTCGAGGGGAATCCAGTTTCGGGGATGCCGTGCTTGCCCGCGTACACACCTTTCAACTGGTCCTCCGGGGGGAAAAAGGCGAGGTTTTCTACGGGGAAGGTGCTACGGGAAGGGGGAGGGGCGGACCACAGTCACCGTGCGTTGCCGCGTACCGATGCTATGGCCCGTCTCCCCAAGGATAGTGGTGGAGAGATGGAAGGGTACAGTTTGGTGGCAGCCGATACAATAACCAAGAGCGTTTTATATATATTCTTTATTATATCCGTGGTTGGGTCCCTACCTATCGCACCGTCTCTTTCTCTCCCTACACACCCACGTAAGTGAGCCGGCTTACCAGTCCTCTTTTCGCCTGGTTTGGTGCTATTCCGCTGAGTCTCGGTGGCCTCCGTGTTGGGGAAATCTTCAGCGGGCAGGATTCCGTCGGTGTCGTTGGCTGGGTCCTGTGTTGTTGTCGTTGGCACAAATCCTGGGGGCGGGGGTCACGGCGATCGCACTAGGTCTGGACCCTGCTCTGGAACTGAACTGCTCGCTTCTGACACCATTTTTCGACTCCCGGCTCGCATCTTTTTTTTACGCGTGCCAAGCCGCTTGTTCCTGCCTCTGCCGGTAATTCTGCCTGGCCATCGGCCACTTCGTAGCTTAGCTGCCGAACGCTGAGCCGATCGTCGATTATCTCTTGCGTTGCGGCGCTGCTCCTCTCTCGGCTGCTGTGGGCTGGCTTGGGGTGGTTTTCGGCTTTGCGCTAGAATTGCGTCGTTGGCTCTGCCGCTCATATTTCTGACGCGTGCCAGGAGTCTGCTCCTTCACATTGTATTTGTGGTAAAAGTGGATCTGTGCAACGCAGAGAAGGAAACGTTTCCGACCCCATAAAGTATATATATTCTTGATCAGCATCAATAGCCGAGTCGATATAGCCATGTCCGTCTGTCCGTCCGTCCGTCCGTCCGTCGGTCCGTCTTGATGAGCGCCTAGATCTCAGAGACTATAAGAGCTAGAGAAACCAAATTTGGTTTCCAGACTCATTTAATATCACACTGCTACGAGTGTATTTCAATTCGCCCCGCCCTCTTCCGTTCCCACAAAGAACGAAAATCTGTTGCAGACACAATTTTAAAGATACTATAAAACTAAAAACGCAGTATAGTAGAGAATGCCTATATATACCAGATTGCAGAATCTGAATCAGATCGGATCATAATTATAGCCAGAATGAAGAAATTAATTTTAACTTGCTCCCCGCGCCTACTTCAGCCAGAAACCCGCTACTCATTCTCTTTCTCGCTCGCCCACTCTGCCTCGTTTAGTGCGCGAGCAACCCCCAGCGAAGGAGATGTAGAATATACATTGTAGATGTAGAACCCAGATATAACAAAAAAATTTAAAATGTAAATTTTTTTTTAATTCTAAGATTCTAAAAAATCGTGCTCAAAAATGTATATACTGACTGAGTACGGGTATAAGTAGAGTCGCGTCCCCAGAAGCGTCTTAAAAAACGCAGTACAATAGCACATATTTAAACCATCACTCAAAAACATTTAAATGACAAGCATATTATGTTAATAAATAAAAAAGTAAAAGCCCTCGTCAATTATATTAATACAACCTTGCTGAAGTGTAATTTAACACCCCGTTGCAAGTCGGCCAGATCGGTTATAGGGCAGCTATATGAAATAGGGCTTCAAAGCATATGAAACTTGGTTGGTGGTATTGGGACCGTAAAATATGTACACAAACCAAATTTCATCACAATAGCTTCAAATTTAAAGTTTATGCAAAGAAAAAAAAACGGAAAAAACCACTGTGCTACGGTATCTTTATATAAATGAAGTAAAGCAAAAAGTCACTTTTTTACGCACATAAACTATTCGTACAGTCGTAAGGTTTTTCCAGTAATATTTTAGTATTACAGCTAAAAATTAAAATTTTCCCGCGTACACCATCAAGCCGAAGCATGTTACGCGCGGAACCCAGGCAGAAACGCAGCCCCTCCTCGCGCCGAACTGACTGAGGGGCGCAGCCGCATGACGCGCGACGCGCGTTACAGAACCGATCACGAGCATGCAGGAAAGATAGGTGTTAGACTAAAATTCGAGGAGCTAAACACAACTCAAAGAGCTAAACATGCAAAGATAGCTAAGAAATAGTACTAATTACTGGTAAAGTATGTTAGTATTAGTGATTTAAGAAGGAAGGGAATTATTAGTGGATATTATATGGTAGAGGGAATTGAGGTCCGAGCATAGGACCCAAAATGGTTTGTGCAAGGAATAATTCGATCTAAAAAGTGGAAGGAACACCCTTGATCAGGTTGTGCATAAAAATCAACCAAGCATTTTTCTACGACTAACTAAGGTTGGAAGGTTTATTAAAAGCAATCTACGAGGGTAAGACTGCCAACTCCTGCATCCCAGTTGAGGCCACGCAGAGCAAAAAGTAAAAAGTTTTTCTGGACTGATTCTATACGGTCCTGGTGTACTTTCTACTGGGGGCACCATACACAAGATCAGTACTCTAAAATCGGACGGACAAGCGTGATATAGACAGTCTTCGTTATATAGGGGTCGTCAAATTCCTTTGACCACTTCTTTATAAACCCAAGCACGCCCATGGCCTTATTTACCATGGTATAAATGTTTTCAGAAAACTTTAACTTGGGGTTTAATTTAACATCAACCAAGGTAATTCTCTCAAGAGAACCACCGCAGAGGCTATAAGGAGCCAAAAAGCGATGAAATGTCATTACTTTGCATTTCGAAGCATTTAGGTGTAACATATTTGCACAACACCCTGACTAAAAGTTATTGAGATCGGATTGCAAGCGAGAGTGAAATTAAATGTCCTTATACTGGGCGCAGAGTCTAACATCATCCGCATACATGAGTACTCGAGAGTTTGTTAATACTAAAGGCAGGTCATTAGTAAAGAGTGTCAATAGTATGGTGCCTAGATGGCTGCCCTGTGGTACTCCAGAAGTAACCTTAACAGGTGAAGAAAAGGAGTTTTTGAAAAGGACTCTTTGAGACCTAGAACGAAGGTAGCTAGAAATCCATCTCAAAAGATTAGGCGGAAACCCTAAAAGGTCAAGTTTTTGTGCTAAAAGGGAATGGTTTACAGAATCAAATGCTTTACTGAAATCAGTGTAAATGACATCCGTCTGCAAGTTACCTTGGAATCCTTTAATGATAAAAGAGGTAAACTCTAATAAATTTGTGGCTGTTGATCGTCGCCTTGTAAATCCGTGCTGAAACGGAGATATAAGTGATTTGCAAATGCGGAGTTTACATTTTTTTCTAACATTTTAGGAATAGTGGATAACTTAGATATACCTCTATAATTATTTGCATCAGACTTGCTACCTTTCTTATGGAGCGGAATAATAAAAGATTCCTTCC